GAAACGGTGCTGGGCGCCCGACCCGACCGGCGGAGAACCCGCCACAGTAGAACAGCTGCACGGAGCTGGCCAGCAGGTCGCCTGTGATCCAGCGACGGTAGAATTATGGCTGGCGCAGACGCTAGCATTCACATTAGGACGAAGGGCGGGATCTCACGTGTCTACGTTAAAGTTATGACCACAAGTATCTCAGAGATTGGCCCACGTGCCGACTAGCAGTGACCTCTCCCAGCCCAGCACTGCTTACCACGGACACAGACAGTAGATCCTGAAATCAAACGCGGTATCAAGGGAGCAAAACGCAAATGCTTAGGCGAGAGAAAGAGACAAAAAGATTAGTATTCAGGTCGGCACAGGCCCCTGCGAAAGCATGTGATCCTTATGTGCCTTAAGTGGCACAGAAAAAAGTCTGAGAAGGCCCATAAAGACAAAAATAAATGAGTTCTTTCTGAGACAGGTAATCAGACCCTGACCTGGGAAAAAGCCAGTGGGGTCGCCCTGTGGCCTTTTGAGGCAGAGTGTGTGTGTGTGTGTGTGTGTGTGTGTGTGTGCACTTGTCTTGCCCAATAATAACGAAAAGATCTCCCTTCCTGGGGAGAAATAAGCAGAGATAAACCCTGCTTCTGTATTCTTAGGATGATCATTATAAGACCCTGGAATGAATTACTAAGGAAAACGGTGACATTTCCATTTTCACAATCTTTTAAACAGAACATAAATCATTTATGAAAGAGAGAGGCTCGTCTGTCCGGGTAACGCGGATTTAAGGTCCGTCCAGAGGAGAGGGATGGACTTAATGTTCTCTCCAGACAACATTATAATTTTATGATGCAGCAGTCACTTTCCTAAATGGACTCCTAAGGTTCTCGGTGGTAACGTGAATACATTGAACTTTCCTGTCCACCGTGACTGCCTGTGCTCATCTAGGAAGGAGCCAGGACCTGCTGGCACGGGGCAGCGGCTGGGGGGGGGGCGGGAGGGCAGGAGCCGGGAGCGGGCCTCTTCCTGGGCGAGCGGCTTCCTCCCCCAGCGGGCTGGA